AAAGAGAAAGCGCAATGCACAAACTGGTGGATAGGTTAACGTAATGGTTCTATCGAAATGGTTAAATTGAAAACACAATTTTTTTTGAGAATTTAGTTAATTCTAAGTCATTTTTTGTTACATTTGTGGAGGATACTTGGTAACCTCATTTATTCTTTTCAGCCGGAAAAACAATAATGATGATGAAGACGATGAGGATTGTGATATTGAAACTGGTGAAGAAGGTGCTGACAAGCAAAAGGAAAAGGCCAAGAAGAAGAAAAAGAGAACTTTTAATGTTGAAGAATTTAAACTCCTTCCTTTTCTCAATACTGGTGAGTGTGAAATTGTAGAACATGTAATCCTTTAACCAAAATTTGGAAATACTTGGAAAATGTCAAACTTAATCTAAATACTTCTTTTATTACACATTTTCTTAATGAATCTCCAGGGTTTTCGGTGTTCTAGAAAACCTGAAAAGTCTAAGACTTCGGCAAGTAGCGCATCAGTTCAGCAACTGCAGCCGGTATTACATAGGGTGTTCAAAAAGTTTTGCACACTTCCGGGTTTTGAGTGAACGAAAGCAGCTATCGATTTGCAGTTTATGTGCGCTTAAAGTAGACGTAAAAACCAATAAAACAAGACCAAAAACAGCTCTCTAGCTTAAAAAATGACAGAGATACAGGGTTTTGAAAATGACATGTAGTGTGACCGCCTCCAGGATTTTTAGCTACAATTATGTTTATCAAGAGGAAAAAAGTTACATGAGAATTGAGTGTTTTTATTGAAACAACTTACAAAATCTTACGGAAATTGACGAACTTCAAGTTTCTTCATCGGATAACTCAAGATTCGGCTGTTTTTCGAAGTATTTTCTACCACTTTGAGCACAAAGCTTCAGCCGCTCTGCCCACTTCACAAGGATCGTATTTTCGAAGTCTTCTGGATAGAGGCTTTTGAAGAATTTTTGAACAGCAGTTTTGATCTAGGCTATGGAATTAAACCGTGTGCCTCTCAGAAATTTCTTTAACTCAGGAGAGAGGCATTCCAAAGCCTAGATCCAAACCGCTGTTCAAAAATTCTTCAAAAGCCTCTGTCAAGAAGACTTCGAAAAGACAATCCTTGTGAAGTGGGCAGAACGGCTGAAGCTTTGTGCTCAAAGTGGTGGAAAATACTTCGAAAAACAGCCGAATTTTGAGTCATCCGATGAAAAAACTTGAAGTTCGTCAGTTTCCGTAAGATTTTGTAAGTTTTTTTAATAAAAACACTCAATTCTCATATAACTTATTTCCCCTTGATAAACATATTTGTAGCTGAAAATCCCGGAGGCGGTCACGCTACATGTCATTTTCAAAACCCTGTATCTCTGTCATTTTTTAAGCTAGAGAGCTCTTTTTGGTCTTGTTTTACTGGTAATTACGTTCGCATTAAGCGCACCTAAACCGCAAATCGATAGCTGCTTTCGTTCGCCCAAAACCTGGAAGTGTGCAAAACTTTTTGAACACCCTATGTAGTTTTAGAGAGCAGGGACAACTTTCAATTACCTTTTTCTATAATTTAAATCTAAGTGGAAATTTCATGCAAATTTAATAGCAGTCAGCGTAATTCAAAGGAAAAAATTCTCAGAGGTAGTTTTGTCCAAAGATCAGGGAAAAGCAGGGAATCACAAAATTCTGGAGTCAGAAAAAAGCCAAAAAAGTCAGAAAAATGAAGCAGTTATGAGATCTCTTTCCTCAAAATCATTGAGCCTCGATTTTTAATCTACAATATTGTTAGAGTTTATAGATGTTTTTATTGACACCTAAACTATGTTAGCAAATCTCCTGCTCTTCTCCAGCTCGTTTTATTTATTTATTTATTTTTTAATAAAAGTAATTTTCCCTGATTACTCTTTTCATTAAAAGACTTTGGCGATTTTAAAGAAAATCACATTCATAAGTTTTCACCTTTCAGCTCAGATTTTTCCAAATGTTGTCTCACTCTATTGTTAAAGTCAGACACATTAAAATTTCCCTAAGCAAGCCGTAATTGTTTGTCCTTAGGGTCGATTACCTAGTTCATTTTATTATACTCCACCTCTTTTTTCCCCAGATTATTTTGACCCATTACGAAAAGCGGTTACCTATAAGAATATTATGAACCTGATGATCGGTGTGTGTTTCCTGAAAGAATCATCGAACAAAGTTTTACAGGTACAAAATACATTTGTATCTCTTGAACAGTTGAATCAACCATTATAAGAACAATCTACATATCTCCTCTTTCTTAAAACTGTTCCCTTGCACCTATTTTAATGTCAAATCTTGAAATCATCAACGCTTTGGAGTTTGACCCAAGTTTAGAACTTAAAAACTCTTTTGAGCAGATAAAGAAATGAAAATTAGTCAATTCCTTTAGAGTTGTTAAGAAATGTCGAGGTTAAAGAGTCAAGTTGTTTTTTTATACAGCTGATTTTACTGTGTAATTTTGATCTTGAACTATTGGCTTGAAATAAATAATTTAACGGTAGATGTTCAATCATTGAAGATAAGTGATTTGCCTCTTATTTAGTGTTCTCAAAAATTAAATACGGTGCATTTTACTTTTTCCGAAAATGATTGTATTAATGTTTGGAGTTTGGCTGCAATTTTATTTATTTATTTATTTATTTATTCTTTTGCTTTTTGCACATTTGGCTTCACAAAAACGTCATTCTAAATAAAGGTACTGATAGGTATAAACATATTTACATACAAATCGTCTTAAATTCATTCATTGACATTCAAAAATTCATTGATTGAGTACGGGCATTTTGCAATCAAATGCCTTGTGGCCACCTTACCGAATGTTGGACTATATATGCTTTCCTGTATAATATTTGGCAATTTATCAAAGAATTTCCATGCCTTTGTTAGGTATGTGTCGTTCTTTGATAAACTGCTAAATTGGTGATATCTTGTGCCATACCCATGTGTCTCTGCCTTATCTCCCTTCAGCCTTTTAGCCAGTAATTTTAAGTGACTCATAATTATTTTGGCCGGTAATGTTAATATCTCATTTTTTATGAAGTGTTCTCGGCATGATGTATCTTGCTTCAGTTTCAGAATGGTTCTAATTGATTTTTTTTGGAGAACAAAGATTTTCTCTATCTGTTTATTACTCGCGCATGACCAAGTATTGATACAGTAATTTATATGAGACTCGACTAGTGCGTGATAGGCTAGTAGAAGAAGTTTTTTATCGCAGAATTTACTTAACATCCTCAGGACAAAAATTGACGAAGCTATTTTAGATCTTATTTTGTCACAATGCATTTCAAAGTTTAATTTATTATCAAGGTAGAGTCCAAGATATTTTAGTGCGTTTACTTCTTCTAATTGCCTTTCATCCACGAATATATTGAAGTTCCAATTACATTTAATTCTAGTATGTATCAGCATAAATACTGTCTTTTCTTCATTAAAATTCAGGAAGTTAATTTTGCACCATTGAAGTAAGTAATTCATGAGTACATAGGTATCTTTTTCGAGATTCTCTAGACATTGACTGCGGACAACCATTAGGATGTCATCAGCGAATAGTAGGATTAAGAGTAATGATTTTAGAGCTTCCAATGTAATCTTCCTTTTAAAATATGTAGCTATATCATTAACAAATAAAATAAATAGAATTGCAGCAATCACAGATCCCTGTGGAACACCACCCAGTACTAACAACTTCTTTGATTTGAATTTCTTATTACCAACTTGGATTTCAACGTACTGAGTCCTCCCCACCAAGTAGCTTTCTAGCCATTTACAAAATTTCTCACTGAATCCTATTCGTTTTAGTTTATACATTAGCAGATCAAATCGAACTGTGTCAAATGCTTTTTTAAGGTCAACCGCAACTATGACTGAAAATTTGTGTTTCTTTCTATCATTGAGTAATACATTATGACATTTCTGTATTGCTGCCTCTGTGTTGAGTGATTCACGAAAGCCGTACTGGTGCTCATAGAGAATTTTATGCTTTCTTAAAAATCGAGAAATTTGCTTCAACACTATTTTTTCATACACCTTCGATAAGGGGGACACTAAGGACAGGGGCCTGTAATTGCTCAAGATTTCATTGGCGCCTTGTTTAAATAGAGGTGACACTTTGCTAATTTTTAGCGATTCTGGAAACGAACATTCTGAGAAGGATTTATTTATGAGAAGATTCAAGGGTGGAGTAAGTGCTGATTTGAACATTTTTACCGTCATGTTACTCAATCCATCGTGGCTTTGGGATTTTTTGTTTTTAAGGCTGTTTATTGCCTCTTCCACTTGGTATTCATCGGTTTTGTTCAGTTCAAATATTTCATTGACGCTCATTATATGATCAAAGTCTTTATGTTCAATTTGTGAAGTATAGGATTTTCCCATAACTGAGGTAAAATACTCATTAAATGTATTTGCTATGTTAACAGGATCTTCAAAAATCTCGCCCTTGTATTCTATTTTATCTATGCTTTTTCTACTATTTTTTTCTTTTCTTTCTTCATTTATGACGGACCACGATGTCTTTGCCATGTTTTCAGATTTATTTAATCTGTCCGTTACCTGACTAGCTTTTTCCCTTAAAATTTTTTCTTTATACCTCCTTTTCATGTCTTTTTGCTCGTTTTTATATTGTTTATAAACTTCCTTATCAAATTCAGGAGATTTTTTTAATTGTTTCATCTTATTACTTATCTCTGCTATTTTATGATGATGAATTCTTCTTTCTTTTCTACTTATGACATTTTTCCTATTTTTGATTACTTTAAATTTCTCAGGGAAGTATAGATTGTGTTGGTGTGAGATAGAAGTAAAGAATTCTTCGGCATTTTTACCAAGGTCGGAATTGTAGGTGTCGATAATAAAATTGGCGAACGAACTTTTAGCAAGCGGATCGTTATGATTTCTCATAAAAAAACCGTTCTCAGGAGACGTTTTTACAAAGTTTTCAGTACATATGTTGGATTCAATAGCAAGGTGGTCTGATAGGGCGTTTTCTAGGACTTGAGACTGAACAAGTTTGTATGGCACATTCGTGAATACATTATCTATTTTACTAGCGGTTGTTTCCGTGATTCTGGTGTATTCTGAAACTGTATACTTACATCCATTCTCTTTCATGATATTCAAGAAATCCCTAACATGTTTATCGTTACATCCGGAGTCTAGGTTTATGTTAAAATCTCCAGCGATAATTAGTTGTTCTTTCAGACTTACATTATCAAGCATTTTATTTAACCTGTCTAGGAAATCATTTACATTAGAGCTTGGTGATCTGTAGATGGCAATCACTCTAATCTTTAAATCAGGCAGCAGACACATGGCATATTCAAAAACTTTTTCCTCACTGCTTCTCTCGATATTTACTGGTATTGATTTTATGCTTTTATGTACCAATATGATAACACCACCTCCTTTGTATTTCTTCCTACTGAAATAAGATATTATCAATCATGTCCGTCTACAGTAGCGCGCATTTATGTAAAGTTCATTTTTGCAACTGCTGAACTCACAAGATTTCTCCAAAAAAAAAAAAAAGAAAAAAGAAAAAAAGTTGTATGATTCATTGAACACAAGTATGAAGAATGCATTGAGTGCCTCCACAAATAATATTCAGTATTATGCAGTTTTTTTAAAGCATTTTTTCCGCACTTTCTCTCTGCTATTTATTTTGAAGCCTACATTAACAAAACCCTCTAATTTTACTGGGATCAGGGGCCAATAATCTTATGTGGAAAAATGTTCATTCCAACCTGATAAACATTCCTGTCTTAATCTAATATAAGTTACCCTGATTTTTAAAAAACCATCAGTGAAGGTTGCCAATTCTTTTCTACTGTGAACAGTAGAAGTAATCCGACAAAACTTGATTCATAACTTTTCATTACCTTAGCACAAGATTATTTGGTTATTGAGTTACTTAATAAAGAAAAATTAAATGGTATGTTGATCTATTTTTTTCTTGAAAAATCTATGTTGTAATGTAAAGTTCTCCTCTGCAAATTCCCAGTGTATTTCCAGATTCGACTCTCTAGGTTGTATCCCTTTTCATGTCCTCACAATGTCAATAAAAATAAATTGAGGTAATTTTTGAACGACTTTCTCAGAGGCTGCGGAGCATCCTGTCAATGAGGAAATTTTCTATAATGACATGGATCCCTCGATGATGGACGGACACAATCCTCTGTCCCTGCCTCCTCCAACACCACCACCAACCCCTCCGCCTATGGACCTCCCCATGAACGGTTCGCGTGAAAGTTTGAAAGATACTCTAGAAGAAACTGAGGAAGAACGGGAGTGTTGGCGGAAGTAAGTATAAAGCGCTGTATGAACTTTCAGGTGTTGGCAAACTTCCCTTGATAAAACATGAATTTATTGGAAAAGCTGTATTTATTTTTCTGCCAATTTTTCGGATAATTATGTTCGCAAGTAAATCCAAAATATCTGAAACACCAAGGAAAAATATTTCTACATAAATTATGTTTTTCGGAATGTTAGGAGGAAATTTGGCAGCATTTGAATGTTTTTATGGCGATTTTCCATAGCACATCACAAGAAAATAGAATGGTTTGACTTTGATGGGAGAAACTGAGGAAGAATATTTTTGAAAACAGTTATAGGTATATTTTGTCTCAAAGAGGATTTTTGATGGCGAACCGACTCTTTATTGTATTTATTTTGCTTTCTTTTTCTCTGGTCAAATTTTTTTTTTTTTTTTTTATTAATACTTAATGAAGCTTTTCTTTCTTCTTTTGATTTTTGTAATTTTCTTCATAAAAACTTTGTATAATATGCATGGTTTTCTTGATGTGATCAAGCATTTCTTGAAGATGATGATCAAAACACCCGGCTGTATCATAAGCGTAAAAATATTATTTTTATCTTACAGTGATGAGTTTGTTTCAAAGGATAATTTCTTTCAAAAAGCCAGCAAGACTTGTCATGATAAATATTTTTTTCAGTAATGCATGAATCTTTCACTCACTGATTTTACTGGAGACTTTTTTCCTTTTGAAAAACTACAGCCATTTCAGGCTTGTACCCATCGACAGGTTTTTTAAGAAAAGATGAAAATAAAAATTCAATCTTGAATTATTTTCATTTTTTGTTTTATAGCATGACAATTTGCCCAAGTTCAAAATGTCTGCAGTTATTTTTAAGGAAAAAATTCTTCAGTAAAATCAGAAAGAATTGATCCATTTCTAAATAAATAGTGCCAATAACTTTAAACAAAACTTGATTGTCTTTCCCTCAAATCATGATTTAACTAGTTCCTCATTTAATCTCTTTTCAGAATACAAAAAAATCCTGAGCGAGAAAACATTGTGTCTCTAGATAAAGTTATAGCAAAAGCGTGGAAACCCATCCCTTCAGACAAAGGCAATCTGAATCGGCCTTTGAACGAAGAGTATACAAGTTGGATACAATTGACTCATCTAGTTCGGTTAGCACTACTTTTCTGAATCTCTTCTCCATTTTTCTCTATCTGACTTGTTCTGCGTTAATTGTAATATCTATAGGACTGAGATGCACATGACTAGGGTACCTTTTTCATAGCTTCTAAAGCAGTGGCGTGGCGTGCTTTGCGATGTATCGATTGATCTGCCATTTAAACCTATGGAAAAGAATTGATAAACAGGGTGTTGGTAACGAACATCTTAAATAATCGATTCTTTACCATAGCCTCAAATGAGGAAATAGCGATAATCGATTGTTCACGCCATGCCACTGTTCTAACGGCCATTTTCTAGGAGCAAAAAATGACTTAAAAAATTGGGTTTGGTTCATCTGTGGATTGACTGATATAATTTGGTGCAGGACCACAAGTTTTGTGTAAAATTATTTTTGTTTTCATAATTGTATATTTCTTTTTCAATGCCCTCAAAAACACTTTCAGTATTCGATAGATGAATAAAATTTCACAAATATCGATTGATCAAATAATCATGAGGTGGCAGGTCTTATGATTTATGAAACTCCGCCAAATGAACTAATGCGCAATTACTTGAACATTTAAGCAACAAAAATGGCTGAAATAAGCTTCTAAACAAAATTTATCAGCGTTTTAATTTAGCATTGTCACAAAAAATTTCCTGTTCCCAAGAAAAACAAGAGTTGACTTGAATCAAATTGGGCTTTGTATACAAGTTTTTGTAGGCCTCCTAACTAAACAGCTTTCCTTCTTCGCCCTGCGTTTTTCAAAGTGTAAACAACACCCAAAAGCTAAGCCTAAGCTCCGAGATTGAGGTTCGTGTGTGTTCATACCTCCACCATACCATACCATAGGGTAATGTTTAGTGTGCCATTTATCTCAAATAAATCATAGTTTTCCAATGAGAAGGAAGTTTGAATATGCATATTGAAAAACGTCAATGTCTTGATGAGGAGTTATTTCTAATAATTTATCTACATGAAATTTTGATGACAGAAAACAAGTGTTATAATGTGCAAATTCGCACTTTGTCTTCTTAGTGGTCCATTAAAATTGCTCAGTGTAATAAGTATTTTCCTCAATGACTTCCAGCATAACTAAAAAGTGACAAGGAAACTTCCATGCAATGATGAGCCTGTTTTTTACGGTGTATTGTCTTGAACATTATCTAAAGCAGTGAGAATTTTTCTCATCCATCTTTGTCATTTATCATAAGTTGATTTCATTCTGTGTTCTACAGAGAAACATGAAGAATAGAGGAAAGACAGATACAGAGTCAAAAACGTTTATTGTATCAGAAATGTTCACAAAGGGTAAATACTATCTTACAAAGGCCACAGGTTTGATCCATGGGTTCTAGCGGAATTCCACGCGGTATAGATGAAAAGACTGAAAGACACTCCCAACAGGAAAAGAAGAATATTAGGTAAGTGAAACCGTCTCTGAATATAAGAGTTTTAATTGTTTGCAGGAAAAGCAAAAGTGACTTTTGTCCAAAAGAATTCAAAATTGAGGTGCTGTTTACAAAAAGGGTCTTTGGTGCCTAAGACCCTTTATGTGGAAAACAGTGTAACTGATTCTCATAACTGATTGTTAAAAATTTCAAAACTAATAATCCTCAAAAGTAGAAACAAAGAAGAAAACAGGGTCAGGCCGAAAATCTTGGTTGGATCTCATTTGAATGATGAAATCCAAAACATTCTCCTAAGGTAATTGTACTCAATTTTTACTCATGCTCCGATCCTTATTTTTTAGAAGTTACAGTAGCTTTTCTTTTCTTTTTGATAGATTTAAAAAAATCACTTTAATTTGTCTGTCAGGAGTGTCTGCAAGAATTGATCAAATATGATTCGGAAGTTAGGGTAGCGAATTTGTGAAAAGTCACTGAAAATCTGAAAAAGTCGGGGAATGTAACACTCATGTAATTGAAGAGCTTGTGCATTTTTATACCTTTTTAAAAATTAATTTAACTTTTTTATCTTTGCATCTGTTTTAGAAATGTTAGATGCTGCTTCAGAGTATGAAGGAGGTGAGATTTTCCTTTTGTTGACCATTTTTTTAAACACAGATCAAGTTTGAAAGATGATTTGTCTTTTCCCGGACATAAGAACGTAACTTTATTCCAAGGTCGCAAAATTGGCGTTGGTTCGTTTCCTTTTAAAGAAAGAAAATAGGGGCAGAGATTTTGAAACATTGCAAACAAGATATGCATTTTTGCAGTTTCACTGTTGATACATACAGAAAATACTGCGGCTAGTAATATGCTAACAACTCCTTCTACTGTTTTACTGGACATATTTACCAAGTTTGAAATTTATATTTTTTTATTTTTCAGCATCATCACAGAAGGTTTGCTTCACTTCAAATAGAACACAAGCAGTTTTCGGTCAAGGTGCTAATCCCTCTGCATATATTCTACCTGTGTCTGCAGTTGTACCATGCCTAAGTTTTTTCCTATGTCGTCCACTTTTTGGAGGAGCCTCCAAGCTTAACTTAGTTTGTCATCAGAGAACTCAAAAAATGCTGTTCTAAAACGTCGAGTTGTCAAGAGGTGAGTTATTGAACTTGCATATGTTTCTTTGAACTATTATAACAAGGTTTCTGGTGGTCTGTGGAACCTGGAAAGTCAGAGACTATACGAGAAGCCTAGACATTCAAGGAACTGAAGATTGTGAACATTAAGTCCATCTATTATGTACACAGCTCATTCGTTAAACTGAATTACATTTTTCTGCTCTATGAAAAAAATTTTCTGGGAGAAATTCAAGCCAGTGTTGGTCTAGTCTCCTTTCAAAATATAGAATAGGGGCTGAGATTTTAAAACTTCGTAACTGCATTTTTACTTTTGATACACAACCAAAACACTGTAGCAAGGAATGTGTTAACAGTAACAACCTACTCTGCTGTGTTAAGAATAGACGCTGTATGAACATGCACACTTTACCAAACCTCTCCCAATCAAGAAGTAATTTTTGAGGTAATTAAGGAATTTTTTTTCCTTCAAAATTTTCTATCCAACTAATAATTTTATCTAAAATTCCTAATCATCTTCTCTGTAAATTGGAAGGAGTATGTTTGCGAATTTCCCTCAAAATTCTCGCTTTTATCAAGATAGATCAGACAACATATAAATGCTCATAAGGCATTCTTCTTTACCACAGCAGTAATCTGTTGTATTTATCCGGCCTCATATTGTTTTGATTTTCAGCCGGCATCATTATAGTGGGTTTCCCCTACCACTCAAAGTAGAACACAAGCGTTCTTGTTCAAGGTGCTAATTCGTGTACATAAAGTTAAGTATTGGCGATTATACCATGCCCAGCTACCTCACTGTGTTTTCTAGTTTTTGGAGGAGGATCCAACCTTACTGAACCTGTCGTTAGAGGACTGTGAAAGTACTGGCACTAAACATCTAGTCAGAAAGTGGTGAATAATTGGTCGTGTATATGTATTTTGTAATCTTTAAAGGGTTTCTGATGAGCTGCAAAACCTTCAAAAGTCAAGGAATCAATGCTGGCTTAGAAAAGTCAGGAAACTTGAGGTTCTGAACTCGTGGTCTAGCTAATATTTACAGTTATTCCAACGTCGTTTTTTTTAAAACTTCAGTAATCTTCTGCTCTTTTCAAAGGATTTTCTTTGAGAATTTTAGACCACGCTGTTGGTCTAGTATCTTTTTAAAGAAATAAAATAGGAGCAGAAATTTTTGAAGCAATACAACTGATATACGCTTTTTGC